GGTTTAGATTGGATGTGAGGAAAAATTTCTTCACCGAAAGGGCTGTCAAGCACTGGAACGGGCTGCCCAGGGAAGTGGTGGAGTCCCCATCCCTGGAGGTATTGAAAAGACGTGCAGACATGGCGCTTAGGGACAGGGTTTAGTGGTGGACTTGGCAGTGCTGGGTTAACGGTTGGACTCGATGATCTTGAAGGTGTTTTCCAACCTAAACGACTCGATGATTCTGTGAGGCTGGTCACTGGCCCCCAGGAGCACGTGGGCCCGGCCGTACAAGGCCGCGGCTGCCGCACAGGAGGGCAAGGTGCCTCCTTGGCTGCTCCCGGCACGGGTGTGCCCCTGCCACCGGCCGGTTCACTCCGGGAGGCTTAACAACACCCCAAGGGAAATCAGAACTGTTTCACCGACTCCAGGATGCCCTCAGGTGAAACGACACCAGCGAACAGTGTAGGCTTTAATTGCAGGGTGCTCGCAAGTACCCCGCTCCTTCCCCAGGTGCTGGTATTAAAAATCACCCAAGAGATGGGAAAGGTTTGCGCTCCCTGTCCCCTGTGCTGTCTGTGCACCTGAGACGGTGCATTGGGATTCAAGTGTGATGCCTGGTTTCTGCTTCCTTCAGGCCTAGAGGGCTGAGGTAGCTGGTAGGGACTGAGCTCCAAAGTGTGGGCTTATGTGTATATCCTGGAAGTTAAAATTACTGCCTTCGTTAGCTTCATGTCACCAGGCACGCAGCATTTGTGACACAGATTAACAGGAAGAGAGTTAACTCTGAATTTCATCTCTTGTTTTGTTTATTTACCTGCTTTTGTCCACCAATTTCTATCCTGTGGCTTGTACAGTCCAAGAGGTCCAGAAAAAGCTTTGAAGAGTGGGTAAGAACAGCCAATTCTCACTATGCTTAAATTTATCAGGGCTACACCTGTGCTGGAAACGAAGGCCACCGAACAGTGAAGGGTGGAAGTCCCTGTAACTTTAGCTCCTCTGTTTTGCTTAGAAGCAGCATGGCTGGTGGCAGCACCTCTGTCTCCTCCAGCCTCATGCTACGGCACATGGCAGTTTCTGCCTCCCTAGCTCTGCCAGGCTTTTTTCACCTTTAGGTCCTCCCAGATTTTTTCTTTGCCTTTCCTTGTTGTACGCTCCATTGCTCCGGTAGCTATTTTGGAGGGCTGTAACTGCAACTGGCTTTTCACCTAGGTTAGATAATCTGAGCCGTGTGCCGTGGCTCTTTCTTGCAGAAAATAGCCCATCAGTTTAAGGGTGTTGTTTAAACCCAGGCCAGAGGGGTATGGATTTAGAAATCATGCCCTGCTTTACCTCAGGCTTGAATGCAATCGCTTTGCAATGAGGAAGCAGGAACAGTCCTCCTACGCTTTTTCATAGTTCTTCTAAAAGGAAATTATTTCATATCTGACGGTGAAAGGATCCAAGAAGGTCTCAGTAGAGAGGCCTGGGGGGATGTGCCCACACTTGGGTAAGGGCATAAGTCGGGAGGCTGTAGGAATACTCTGTAGTGGACTTTATGGCAAACAAATCTGGATGCTCATGTCTGAGTGCCAGCTGCCCCCCTCGGTTAACTGTAGTATAGACATAACCTTAGACCTTGCTTCATTTCCTGCTCCAGTTTGACGTTATATCTCAATTAGAGACAGTACAAAATGAAGGAGGAAAGCCAACTCACACACAGTATTGACAAGAATGATGCAGTTACTGTGAGGTGACACCTAGACCAAAGATCTCCTGGTTTATAAAAATCAAAACAAACCAGCGAGGTGGCAGGGAGGGGTATAATGGGCAAGGAAAGCAGCTGAAGACTTTACCTTGGTAAAACAGCTTTGGCTAGGTTTGAAATTAATGCTGTACCTCTAAAAGGTGTCTAAAAGTTCACTAACGATGACACAACCTTCCACGATTGATTTGGTGCTCTGCTTCCAGTACTCCTGGTTCTGTGCTTCTCTTGCCTCCAAATCAAAGCATCCTTTACTGTAAATCCCCTCTGTGATCAAGACAGTTGTCTTGTCCTGTGGAAGAGAAGTTGCAATCTACAAAGTACAACATCTCCCAAAAGAGTTGCTGTATGTATGCAAATATGTATATATGTTGGCTGTGTTTTTCTGAGGGCATTCACTAATATCTCCCTGAAGAAGCAAAGGGGGAAAATAATACTTGGTGTCATACATCTCCTTGAGATTTCTCTTTTTGAAGAGATTGGAAAATCTTCTGATGTATAAGAAGTTGTGGTACCTTCTTTTTCTTTCACTGACAACTCATGAGGACATCCACTCCGGCTTGCTCTCCCATTTCCAGGATGGCAAATCTGTTTGACTCGTCTTTGCCTTGGGCTCAGGGCAACATTTTCTGAGGGGCATGAATGGTTGAGATGGTTGGGTCAGGTCTCGGCTGGACTCTGTTCAAAGCTCCTCCATTCTTCAGAACATATTCCCAAGGGTATATCTATGCTGGCAATTCGTTATGGTCTCTGCCTGCTTCGTTATGGATCTCTGGTCCTTTGACTGTCTCCATTCACAGGCGCTACTTGGTTGTAGGGTGGATATCTGGAGCACCCCTTGCTGGACAAACTCATGGCGCACATGAAAGCTCACACTGTGAGCTCTGCTCCTTGGACCACGCAATGGAAGCTGATCGTCCGCACTGCAGGAGGGTTTCTCCGAGTCACCCTTGCTCTGAGGAGCCCTTAGACTGCGGAAACTGCTTAGCAGTGTGTTACGAAAGCAGACAATTCCTTCCCTGTGCCGGTCCCTCAACCATGCAATGATCCTTTTGATGACATCAGTGCACGAGATATTTTTAACATGTGACATGGGTGCTTTTCCAAGCTGTATTTCAAACTATCAATTTATTATATACGGCATTACTTTACTCTTTAGAGTCAATTAGACCACTGCTATAAATCCTTAGCTTGACTATTTGTTTTCTACTGTTCCTGTTTTGCTTTTCAGGGCAATACGGCTGGTTTGGTACCACGATGGCTGCGTATTTCTGTCTCCCATGTGATTAATAAATGTTATATTTGCTGTCAGGGCTCGAGCCAGGCTGTTAAGCTGTCCCAAAACCACTTGCAGAGTCTTGAGAGCTCACTGCAACTGAGTTTGGGTCTGGAAGCAATAGTGTTACCCGTGGTTTTCCTAGATCCAGGTTTCCGCAGACCTCTGGAACAACCCCACAGAGTTAACCGCAAAGCTACTTCGAAGTAATTCACTTCACAACATTCCATATGAAATCAAGACTGAAAAGGGAAATCTAGAAGTTACTCAAAATCTTGGAACATTCATAAGAGCCTTGTAAGTAATAGAAATACAAGCTTAAAACATACACGAGGTGTTTCATTCCAATTTCTTGATGATTAAGTGTCTGCTCAGCTTTATCTGCTGCAAGCCAACTGTCAACTTACAGGAAGATTATTGAAGGCAGCTCACAAATACATCATTTCACTCAAACAACCCAGATGTCATCTATTTGCCGAAGTAGTAAAGCTGATCAGAATGATTTTGGTTGCGCTCAGTCATTGTATGCAGTTTATATTTAGCTGTTTTCAGGTTGTATTCAATACTTTATGGGTATCCAGTTTCACTTTTCTATTTGATATTAAAACAGGGGAAAACCCCAGCTCAGCCAGTGTATGCTTTCACTTGCACACAGGAGGCAGAACTGATGCCTTACAGCTGACGGAGATTGCAGAAGAACTCATTTCAAGTAATGCAGGGCACAGATCACTCTTGGAAACCTTTTTCAGATAGGTACATGGTTCTTTTTATTCATCTTCAAAATACTATAACAAAAAAGACATTTGATAAAATTGCATTTATACCATGTCTAAATATGTCCACTTCTGGCAAGGGAGCTCAATGTCCAGATGGAGACTGGTGACAAGTGGCATCCCACAGGGGTCCATATTGGGACCGGTACTGTTGAATGTCTTCATCAATGACATAGACAGTGGGATCGAGTGCACCCTCAGCAAGTTTGCAGATGACACCAAGCTGAGGGGTGCGGTCGACACGCCAGAGGGA